GTAATCCCAGAACCATGCTTCATGAATTAAGAAGGCGGATATCCGCAACTATTTCTGGCTGGGACTGCCCATTCTAACCTTCATCTACCCAGGTTTTGATTGTGGCTCATATCGTGGTTAAGTTCCCCGACAAGATTCAACACATCATGGCTTGGAGAGTTTGCTTGGAGATAACATACCCAGACAATCCGACTGTAGGTCATATATGCCAAACTAACCCTGGAGAGCAAAGGTGGGCAAATATTGCATACAACCTGGGATTCAGTTACCACCAGCAAAACAATGGTTGGGTTCATACAACCACAATATTTTTTCTCAGGATGTTCATCCAAATTTGCTCCTTGCCATTCTTTTAGTGGGGGCAAGAAACCCCAAGGTTGGTGTGTCTTTGTTTACAAGAGAGAACTAAAGGAACTTTTTGGGAACCGAGGGCATGATAGAGGACTACTGAGGGAACACAGATTACCAGGAGAATGCTAGTGAACTACCAAGATAATTATTGGGGAACATTAGGGGAATACTGAGCGAATTAGGGGCATACTAAGAAAATAGCAAAGGCACACTGGGGAAATGCTAGGGACAGAATTACTAGGAGGGTGCTAATTAGGGGAATACTGGGGGAATACTGAAGGAATTCTGAGGATCTTTTAGGGGGATACTAAGGGAATAGCAAGGGAATCCTTGAAGAACACTAATTGCCAGAAAGCAGGGGAGAGGAAAAATGCCTGCAGTGGGTGGCCTTCCGCAAAAATCACCAAAGACCGCATGTGCGAGAAAGGACCATCAACATACGCCAAGGTGTAAAAAATGCTGATTTCAAAAACACAGGCCCCATGGCGGGCCGCTCTCTTAGAATAAGGTAATAGTCTATTTTAGTAGGGGAACCCTCCCCCAGAAAAGTTGGCAAAAGGGCACTACTGGGGGACCTAGAAGCCCAGTCACTTCATGTCCCGCACCCCTCTTGAAAAAGCAAGAGAATCATGGAGAAAGTTGACCTAGAATAGTGGTAACTCCCCCCCCCCGCCCCAACAATCACCCCCCCCCCAAAGGAAACAACCCACCCCCACCAATCAACCCAGCCCGAACACCCCAAACAATCAACAACACCCCCCCCCCTCCAAAGAAAACAACCCACCCCCACCCCACCCCGAACACCCCAAACAATCAATAACAACCCCCCTCCCCCAAACCATTGTTCGAGCAAGAACCCAACCTCTGGGAAGGAGTACCAAATCTTCCAGCTTGTTCGTGCCCTGAAAAAAAAAGAAAAAAAACACATCTTCAGTGATAGAAATTCCCTCCAATTCAAAGCCAACCAGGGGAAAATGAAGTTAAAAGAGTACCCCAAAAAAGGAGACGAACAAGTGAAATCCACTGAAAAAAAAAAAAAACACATCCCAAACCCGTGTTTCTAAAGCTAAGTGGCCATGGGTCAAAATCCAAATCGTACATCCAGCGAACATTCCAAGCCCAACTAAACTATAGCTTCTAGAATGGGTGGTGAATTCACCTACCAACCAAAATGGGATCCCATAACGGTTTTGACAACCACAGCCATATGTATTTCCCGCCAACCGGGATCACTCCGCCCCTGGGTTTTGCTAGCGGAACTTGGTGCAGCTGGGATCCTATCGGTTTTGAGCTCCCCAACCTCCCCAAAACCAAAGTTTCCTGCAGGTCGTTGAGCTGTGCAAAGGCCGCCACCACCTCTTCGAGTCGCAGAAAAACGGCCGAAAACGGGGTCAGGCAAATGGAACCCGCGCTCGAGAGCGGGGATCCACCAAAAAGGGAACCCGCTGAAAGGGAGCTATCGGGGGGAACCTCCTATTTGGACAGAGAGAGTGAGCTCTTCACTTGAGACCTTTCACTTCCGGAAACAGAGCCTTCCCAGGTGCAAGCCATTGTAGGTAACCCTTCGATCCATCTTCAACTCTTGGTTTTGATATCGGGTTCCAACTTGGTGACCTGCCTGCAGGGCAATGGAATCACAGCGGAGTCGATTCACAGGGCTCCCGTTCCTCGCCCTGTCCCGCCTTTGACTGCCGAGACACCGCTGCTATGACCTCGCTCGCTCGCCCCCAAAAGCAGGGCGCCCGGGTCAAAAGTCTCACTTTGAAAACCAGCAAAGCCTGAGATATATAGTCGTGCAGGCTGATTTTTATTGGTGTCAACAACTGGCCAGCCTTGAACTGATTTTGACCCAAAGGGAGCCAAGTCTGGCAAACAAGTCGGGCGCATTCAAGGACTTGGCGAGCTGTTGTTCAAAGATTCAGGAAGGGCAGGACGCTTCAATCTGATGCAACAACTTGTTGGTCAGGTGGAGATCAAATTTTGTACTTGGGATCCCCTTCCGGAAGGGGATCCCAAACAGACTTCGAGGGGATGGTTCAAACAACACATGGAGCTTTTGGCAAGCACAGGCTCGGGAAGTGAGTCCACTTTCTGCTTTGTGGAGAAGGGTTAAAAGTTGGAATGGGGCCCCCGCCACCCTCTCCCTCAGGGTCCAACGGATATTTGGCCATTTGAGCCTGCTCCACAATTCCAGTTCTTCATTCAGAGTGTGGTGGTTCCGACATGACAGCGTACCTTCGGACCCTTTCATGGACTTTATGTGGCTGTGGGTCAAAAATTGGTGCCCAAACTGGAACCCTGGTAAGTGGAAACATGGACTAAAACCTGCGGTCCCCTGGTGGTTCAATTTTGACCCATATTAATTTCACCATTACTCTCCACCGACCACTTTTGAGGTGGTCCCTTTGAAGACTCATCCAAGACCTCCAGGCCATCGGACAAAAGGCCACGTTTGTTTTTTTGGGCGTGGCTGGTTGATATTGAAAGGGAAAAGCCATCGCAAAGAAACAAAGAGACATGTGCATGTCGGGGTACCCACAAAAATGCTTGGTTTTCTTCTGGCTTAAAAACAACAACAACAAGGGAGGGATGGGTCCCCTAAAAAAAGACACACTACCCTCCCGTGCATTAACATGGAAGCTGGCTTGGACCATGTTCTAAATCGGAAGCAAAACCAGCCAGACTAGGTCCTCCAGTAGAGAGGTTGGAATAAGGGTACCAACTTTTTTCAGTAGTCTGTTTTAGTAGGGGAACCCTCCCAACCAAAAAAGGGGGCTAAAAATCCGGGCACCAATTACTGGGGGACCTAGCAGAGGCCTCTCCTAAGATGGTCCGAGCCCTGACGAGCCCCCCGAATTGTCCGAAGGCCGAAGGGCCGCGCCGCTGGGAACCAGAACCAGCACCAGCCTCTCGCCGCGGATCCGACCCGGACCATCCGACTGTAGCAAGAGCTCCATATCAAAGTGCTGGGATTGCTTTCTATTGGTGCGCATGCGGTCCTAGACGTCTTCCTGCAGACAAAGTCTCTCTGAACAAGTTGCCAAGCTCGACTAGGTTGAATCAGCACAAGCCACCGATATACACATAAGCACACGACGAGTGAAACAACTCTTCCGAACATGCTTACAAAGCTTACCAAACAATCACGAAGAAGAGCTCCCGCAAGTGCTTCGCAAGTGCTTACGCAGCATGTGTCCCCAAAAAGTGTTTACGCCGACTTGCCGTGCAGGGCTTTGCTTACGCGGGGCCTTGTTTTGACACAACTCTTGCTTGGTTTTTTTGGAGCAGAACTGAGTGATAAAACACAGATAGTTGAAACGAGCCTTTTTACACAAGCCCGCGCCACGCCTCAACAGCTCGCGAACATCGGCGTGGTTCATCATGGCCACGCGAGGTTTGCTAGGATACCTGTAGAAACTACACGGGGATGGCAGTTCAGTGGCCAAGAAAAAGGTTTGGGATGTTTGGGCTAAAAACCTTCCCCCGTAAGCCTCCCGCATGTGTTCCGACAAACCTCAAATCAAGTCGGGAACGCTGTCGCATTGGATCTCCCATGTGCCGACGGCACAGTTCTGCTTGAGCCAGCGAAATCCGCCATCGATCCATCGATGCATCGATCGTCCCAAGCAGGTACCCTTAGGTACGTGCCCCGGCAAAATACGACCGCGTCATAAAAAGGGGACTATGCAATTGCCAATATTTGCACTCCTACAATCATAATCATAACTATCATAACTAAATCAGGCTGCAATGTGTAATGAGGGGACTATGCAATTGCAAAATTCGCACTCCTACAATCATAACTAAATCAGGCTACAATGTGTAATGTGCTCCTTTCATGTTGTCATAGTTGCCAAGCAACCTTTGTAGTACAGAACTAGCGCATAGGGTACCCAACTTTTTACCACAGGAATGAATCTTTTGCACCTATCCAGAGGCACATGGTCTGTGGCCTAGACTGCCAGCAACAAAAAACACCACTCAGTGCTTTCCACACCAAAGAAGATTCTGGAAGGGTTCACATCAGCCACCAAATTGCATCTGTTGCCAGTTCTTCATTCGGGGGGGGGGGGAAAGGAAAAACGCGAAGCACAAAACATGCACATGTCGGCATGACCTTTTCCACATGGCTTCTCATGCAACGCGGCGAAGGAGGGCACTACTGTGGATGGACGAAATCCGTTCGCACCCAGTGGAAACCATGGGAAACCATTGCTTGCTGATTTGCAGGGGAAGCATTATTGGGTTTCCTTGGTGGTGTAGGCTTGCGTCCATCCACAGTATGTACAACCGTTCAGTGCCCACGGGACCTTCACGCGCAAAGTCACTCGTTGAACGTGTGCTCAGATAGACCCCCTGTGCTGCCAAGTCTCAACTTTGACTCACTGATCAACGCATGGGACTAAGCGACTAAAAGTACTAGTGTAGTTTCACTCACATGTTTTTCCCTTTCAAAGCGGTATCCGTTTCTTGGCCCGACTCAGACCCCCAAAAGTGAAAGAACTTTCAGGCAAGGGAAAACGTTCAAACCCTCGTTGGGCTTCAAAAAACCCCGAAACCGAACCCCAAACGGCTCCTTAAAGACACCCCCGACCAGCCGCTGGCCGCGACACCTGAAGCCCTGGCCACTCGCATCTGGGGAGTCCCACGGCAGTGACTTCATCAGCGCCGAGAGGATGGGCGTGACGATCATGTTCACTTCCGAGAGCGCCAGTCGCCTCGAGCTCGACTTGCTCGACTCAACTTGCGATCGGTGCGTAGGGAATGAGAATTGGAATGACCTCTAGAGACCGGGCAGGGAATGAGAAAGGAAGTTTGACCCTGGGATAAACTTGCTGGTGCGAGAAGTAGGGAATGTGGGAACGAACCCAGGCTTTGGTCCCCAGAAAGGAAACCGCCAGTTGAGCAGTGTTCTAAACCCAGTTGCGGCCGAGAGAAATATCAAATCCCTTCTGCAAATGCTTCCGCGGAGCTTGCGCGGCATGAAAGGTTCCTTCCGCAAGAGGTTTGAAGAGGGAATCGCTTCCGCGTCGCTTCCGCGGATTGAGAAACGGGATTGAAGTTCGGTTTCGCTTCCGCGCGTAAAAACTACAATTTATTGCTTTCATGATAGAATCGTAGCCCTTCCGCAAAGCTTCCGCGAGTGCATAAATGAGAAACCCCTTCCGCGAACCTTGCGCGGCGCTTCCGCGACCTGGGAAGAGTCAACATTTTGAAAGCGATATTTCCTCCCGAACACTACGTTCAAGTGCTGGGGCTATAGAACGTTCAGTTGGATGGTGTATCGGGGTCATTCCAATTCTCATTCCCTACTTCTCGCACTAGCAAGTAACCATCCACGTGGCTTCCTTTTTTGGGAATCCCGAAACGATTCATTCCCTCTGCCTATCGCACCAGCAGGTTAAAAAGGCTGCGCTTTTGGTGCCCAAAAGAAGCACACGAAAGAAGTACAAAAGAAAAGAAGTGCCCAGAGCTCCAGTGGTCATGGGGGAAAGGCCTACGGTGCATGGACAAAATACCTGGGCACCACCTAAGAAAGCCTGGTTTCTGACGATTCCCTGGTACATGCCAACAAACAAAGGTTTCTCATGGTTTCAAAGTGGTGCAGGATTTCGTCCATCCACAGCATGTTTGGGTGTTGTCAAACAAACACGAAAAAAAGGCACTGGGTGCGGAATGAAGAAGCAACACCTCAAGGCTTCAAACAAAGCAAACACATCTTCATGCATGTGCTGCCTGATTGGCATACGGGTGGCTTGTTTTTTTGTTTAGGTTGGTACCCCTTTTTGTTTGGTAGAAAAGCCAAAAGGAGCACCACCATTTTGTGCGACTCCTAAAAAGACACTCCCATATAGGTATAATTTGTAATTGGGAACCCTTTTGGTGGATATCATTTAGGTGTGGGAATCAGCGCTTTTGAGGTGGTTCCAACTCTGAACATTCATAGCTTCGCATTGCCGCTTTCGGCAGAGGTTCCAAGTTATTTCGTTCGTTCAGATACAACCATGACTAGGTCCTCCAGTAGAAAGGTTAGAATAAGGGTACCTTTTTTTCTGTAGTCTATTTTAGTAGGGCAACCCTCCCCCAAAAAAGTTGGCAAAAGGGTACTACTGGGGCAACTAGATGATCAATGTGGGCGATTGTCTATACTTGCCAAACCAAGAACTGTTGACACTTCACTCATCTTCAGGGGTGAGCTCCTGACAGACGTTTTTCGAGAACGGGCATACCTTACAGGACAGCCTCAACCCTGGGCTTCAAACCATCAAAACGATGGGGGTCAAACACAGCCACCGCTGTTTACCTACGGATGTTCATCCAAATTGGGAAACCCAAGGCCGCCTTTTTTTATGCGGGGCAAGGAAGCTCGTCAAGAAACCAGGATCGGATGGAGCTCAGTCAGGCGATCACAAGTTGAGGGGCCCCCTGTGGATGCCTCAAACTAGAGAAACCCCTGGGAAGCCAAAAGGAAACCTTTGCCACTTCTCAGGAGCACCTGATTTTAGACATCGCACGAATTCTACAAGGTGTTGGACAAAATCCTGAAAACAATGCAAAACGACCCAAAGCCGAGTTGTTTTTCGACTTTGTCGGTCATAGTAAGATATAACCTGCCCTACCCAACTCGAGGCGTTGCACACTTGTTGTCCTGAGGCACTTGTCCTGAGGCGAGCGGCATCATATCGCAGCAGGTGAGCAGCCGCAGGGAGCTCACCAAGATGATGGCCGAGCGCATCCACAAGTTGTCGATCTCAGCCGGAGATGGTGACAAGGCACCCAGCTTAACTTGCTGGTGCTCAGGGAATGAGAATTGGAACCCAGAGATAAACCATCCAACCGGTGGTAAGGGGACCAAAGCCTGGGGACCAAAGCCTGGGTCCATTCCCTTATTCCCTACATCCTACATCCCTTGCGGTTTCCTTTGAGGGGACCCCTGGGTCCATTCCCTCATTCCCTACTGAGCACCAGCAAGATAAAGCCGAAAAGCTCACAAAAACTTCAAAGACCCGATCACAAGATGTTTGATATCGGGTACAGAAAAAAAAAAAAAAAAAAAAAAAACAAAGGAAACCACATCCAATTGTCTACTCTTGTGGGGTGGTCATCTTTTTAAGGGTCATAGTGCCCCCTGTAACACCCAGTCCCCGTCAAGAGGAAAAAGTGGAAAGCCCATCTTTGGGCTTTGAAGTGAACCGCACCACGAAGTTTAAGGGTCTGGGAATCGAAAGGACCCAATTTGATTGGCACTTCGTACCCGCCCCAGAAAAGATACCTCCCCCCCGGTTCCAGGGGGCCCAACGAGAATTCATTTCCATGTGTAACCAACCCAGTGCTTCCAGGGGATTCCAGTTGCCCACAGGTGACCAAATAAAACCGTCCATAACACCTGGAGGTAAGGAACCTTGGTTTCCTGTAGTGGCGAAACCCCTGGAACCATGGGCAAGGGAACCACCCACTGAATCTCGAAAATAGCTGGGAGCTTCTATCCAACCTCTGGGATGGGTTGCAAAGCTCACTCCAAAGGAGCTCAGAAAGCTCTGCCTTTGCAGGGGGCCTCTAAAAAAAAAACATCGACACGCCAAAGGGTGAAGGCGTGTGGATTCAGTTTGGAAAAGTGAGTTGATGGCATTTGGACACGCAGCGTTTCAGAAAACTTGCCCGAGTTTCACATGGTGGCAGCAGCTATTTATAGTTCCCTCCAATCCAATGCAATGCTTGGGGCAATCTCTCCCTTCGAGGATTTGTGTGGTTGCAACTGCCTGAAAACCAGCAGCCCCAACGCCTTTGACCTTGGGCTACAAGATGTTTGTACAGACTTGTATGGGGGGTGCCTCGTTTGAGGGGACCCCCCCGAAATTGTGGATTTCCTCTTTGTTTCCCTTCCAAGCCACCCAACATTGGCCGCATACCCTCACAGCCACCAAGCATGAAAAAAAACAAATCCGTTCCATGCAGCATTGGCCAATCCGATCTTCGGAGAAAAAAAAACCGTGGAAAACCAACATACACTTGGTTGACGTTGGAAGGGGAGCAAAAATCTAATTTTTAGCAGCTAAGTGGCTGGATTTCAACCACTAAACCACAATAAGCAAAAATGCTAGAAATGCAAATCCCAACAACAACCAACACACAGGGGGGACGCATCTCTTTTTGTAGCCCAAGGACCTGGCGGATTGATTGCCTTTCAGCATGGCCAAGCCCGGCCAATCCATGGAAACATTTGACTCAAGATGGTGTTCTTGTAGGTCTTAATATGGCTGTGGCTCAAAAAAAACACGACTCCCCACGTGGCATTGGCATATGGAAAAGACTAACACCTGCAGCTTGCCTCATCTGTTTTGTTCTGAGCCACATAATATTACACGGGTCTCATTTCCTGAGTGGATGGCCCGACAAAGAGACCAAGCTTTCTGTATGCCACTATGGTCCAAACCAAAAACAACTCAGGGCATGTGGCCATGGGTCAAAAGCCCGTACCCCCAGTGAACATCCGAATCCCAACTGAAATAGGAAGCCTAAAATGGGTGGTGAATTCACCTACCAACCAAAATGGTACCGTTGGTTTTGACCCACGGCCATGTCGTGGGACTGTCTGCGGGTCCGACGAAGATCCAACTCCTTTCGGCTGAAGTCCCGCGCAATGCCGCGGCTCTGGCAGCTCACTTCCCCGCTCGACAGGAAGACCTTTCGGCCGAAGGAGTGAAACGTTACTTGCTTTTTCTTGGGGCCTTCCAACCCGCTCAAAAAGGGCACTAAACAATCCATGAATGTAATATGTATATATATATATATATCATACACATAAATATATTACCCTCCAAATGGGAGAGCGAGGTTGCAACACTATAACCGACATGGAGTGCCATTTCAATCAACCCCTCCCCATGAATCACAAGGAGCAAGTTCCTAGCTGCCTGGCCGAACGTTACAGCAGCTCAAATCTTGATAACCTATGCGCCGTGTCTCTTCAGGTCTTCAAACCGCCCAGCCAACTCAATCGATGTACACCCGCACGGAAGGGCAATCTGGCTAAGTCCACACCTGGCTGTCTCTTCTTCTTTGCGGGGACCCGCGAAATCGAGGCTTTCCTCTTGGGTTCCCTCTAATAACCCACCAAAAGCAGGGTACGCTCAAAAAAAAGAAGGACCTACCCAAACCTTCCAAAGCTCCAAAAGCCGTCCTCGAGGACGCCTTCCAACCCGCTCTGCTCTGATTCTCCTTGCCCAGTGCTGAGAGCTGCGCAATGAAGAGTGCTAGAGTGGCAAGATGAAGTGCGACCTCAGCGCGCGATTCTTTGACCAAAATTCGGTGCATGACACATCCATGGGCCATGGGCAAGTCTATGGACTCTCCGAGCCTCAGTCGTAGGTGTATTTATTTGTTTGCTTTTTCTTGTTCTTTTTGTTGGAGGGGGGGTCGCTTTTTTGGGCTGTTCTTCAGGGGAAACCAAAGTGAACACCAGCATTGTAGGGATCCCCTATTTTCAGACCAGTATGGCTCCCTAACCCTAAACCGCACTTATGCTACTCCAACCTCACTCCCTCATGCCTCATGGGACAATTTAGGGTAGGCGTTTGTAAGGGGGGTCCCTGATGGCCGTTAGTGAGCCTTAAAGCCCCAACAAACGCCGTCACTGCTAGACTCAATTGCCATGGTCAAAACTCCGCCCACGGCTTGGGAGTCCGTGTCATGGTTGTCAAGAGTCCTCATGTAGGGATTCACGATCTTCAGTTGCCAAGCCCAAAAGGAATCTCAGTTGTTCAGTGACCCCCTGCAAAAAAAAGGGAACCCTTTTTGGGGAAGACCATTTTTAGTGAGGCAGTCACCCAAAAAAAGGAAGGAAAAGGGTGCCAGGAACAACTAAGGAATTGTTTGACCATGGCACGCGTGACCTGGAGCACAAAAAACTGGCTGGCACTTCGCCACCGCCATTTTCCGCGCTCTCTCCTGCGGGTAAAAAATGGTCTCCGAGTCCCTGGATCCCAAACACCCGCGCTCGACCTGGGGCCGCTGCCTCGCTGTAAACATCCCAGGCCTTGTGCAGCTGATTGCCAATCACCTGAAAGGCCCAAGGAACCGGCAGAAAGCGGCCTTCGCTCCGGTGGGATCCCCATGCTTCAATCCCCCGAGACAAATTGCGAAACTCGACCGCTCAAGTGAGGCCAAAACTCGGTTGCACCTTAGGGAACTAGAACTAAGCTTTTGGGACCATGACTGAATTCGGACCAAAATGGGAAAACTAGAAGGTCATGTCAGGTCGATTTGCTTTGAACCACTGAGAAAACCAAGAATGTCTCGAAACGCGAATGCCCCTTCAGGCCTATCATCTTCACATGTTACTCTTGGTTTGTTTGTTTGTGCCCGGACGTGAGGGGCAAGACGTGCAGACTCTTCCGACGGGTGGACATACTAGGAAGGACATGGGGAAGTTGCCCCATGCTCATCCCAGACTAACAATAGAGAATCAGCAACATGGTCAGCTGCTCATCTCATACATTGAAAAAGTGGATCAATGTTCACCACTTGATCCCTTTGCTTTTTTTGTGGGTCGCCAAGACCTGCTGTTTCGTTGCAACCCCCGTCATTGAAAGCCCGAACGCCCAGGCACAACCCCGCTGGGATTTTTCTTGATTGACAGCGGGACGCGCGTCGCGAGTGGCGCCTCCCCGATCCTCATGAGCAAAGTGAGGATCACCAAGGGGAGGCCGATGCCGGCCTCTGGTCGCATGGAGCAAATGATGGAGGAAGGAGAGAGGATGTGCTGCAATACACGGCCAAGCCTTAGGACTTCCCGTTTTTGGCGGTTGACAGCTCTGCCTTCCGTACGTGAGAGCTATAAATGGGTTCACCGCTGGTACCAAGTAATCTCACGTTCCTTCCACTGTCCGGTCGTTTCCGTCTACTCCACCCTCTCAATCTCAGAGATGAACCGCTATTACAAAAAACACTAACCAGAGTGGACAAAGGAAACGATGGGAAGGAGTGGATGAATACGGTCTCGCTTCTCCCGTCTACCACCTTTCCATTTCTCCAGCATTCTCCAGCAATCCACTGACGAAACCTCAAATGGGAAACCACTTTTTTACGGAATTTCCCACAAAAACTGACAACCCCATTTTGCCGATGGGTGATGGGTGCTTACTTCCCTAACCTCCTTCCACCATCTCATGAACCCGGCTCAGGCTCCGGCGAACACAGGCAGCTTGTTGCACCAGTCAGCAGCCTCCAGGCATCCGAAGCAGACATTCGACTTCTAAGACTTGGTTGACGTTGCAAGGGGAGCAAAAAAATAAATTTTAGCAGTTAAGTGGTTGGATTTCCCACTAAACCACAATAAGCAAAAATGTAAAATGTTTCCCAACAACAACCGGTTCAGAGAAGATTTCTGCGAACCTTTGTGGGGTATTGAGCTCCCCAAGCAAGGCATGGCCAGGGGCAGCCGTCGAAATGTCCTTTGATGTTGGGGCAAATGCAATTGTCTCCTTGGCTGCCTGGCTGGCGATCGATGTGTGTTCTCCTTGATCATTCGGATCCGGCCAGCCCCATGCCAGCTAAAAAGACTCACTTGGCATGGGCAACTGCGGGCTGCACTCATGCTTTTCCCTTCCTGCAAGAGCCCAACGTAACGAGCAACGACCCCTCTGACAGACATTGAGCCGGGGCATTATGTTGGACAGAACAGAGCGGTTGGTTGAACCCCATCAAGACATGATGCCCTCTGAACGGATAGAATGTGCCGCGTTGCATTTGCTTCTGGAAAAAACAACAACAATATCATGGTCAATACCAGCAAGTCGCCTTACCGGACATAGGGCTCCACCCTTACTCTATGGACAATTGCAATTGGGTGCTAGGTCCTTCTCAAAATAAGCATAGCTCAGTTCTTCAGTGACCCTGGAAAACAGGGAACCCTTTTGGGGAAGACCATTTTTAGTGGGGCAGCCGTTAAAAAAAGGGAAACAACATTGGTGCCACTGAACAACTGAGATAGACAAGAAAGGACATTTCGACCAACAGGTGTCTCCAATTTCAAGACACAAACAAATACGGATGGAACTGGCTGGACCACTTTGCCGTCAAACGATCAAGTTGAAAGCCTGGCGGAAGAGTTGGATGAGCCTTTGAAGACAAGCCACACATATCAAGTCCTGCTTGTTCATCCCTTCCCACAGAATGGTCTTCCAACAATGCCCATCAGCGACAAAAAGGCTGTCATTATATGTTTGGGGACTTTTCTGTTGGTCAGTGCTTCAAAAGGAAACCAGCACAAAATTACTGTTTGGGTGTTGTCTCTGTTCCTGTTGGCCACTGCCACGCAAACTGAAAGAAATGCCAAAGAACACAAAGAGAAGCCATCCACTGGGAAAGCCCCCCAAAATGAAATACACAGTCACAATGGAGGAAAGGAATTGCCCCAAGTCTGTGTAGGTCTTTCCCGCACGTAAAAGCAACTGACCATTTGGAGGTGCAATGGAAAAGCAGAAAGTTCCTAATAGACCCTTCCAGGGCTTTCTTTTGCCGTCAAAGATCGGCAATTATGTGAGGCTCTCTGTTCGGATCCTCTGGTATCGAATCCCTCTCGGTTCCCCAACATAAAGCCGGAATTGAGCTGCCAAGGCTGCATTTGGGAAAAAAAGACAGAAGGCCCTGGAATATAAAGGCTCCTCTTGTCAGGATTGTGAGTTTGCGGATCCAGCTAAACATGCTGCTTGCTGGACCGGTCAAAAAGCACAAAGCAACTCATTCCTCTTCAGCGGCTTGACACGTCTTTTGCAGCCGGGGAGGGGTGCAGGAAGTTGCCAGCCTCGTCCCGGAAGGTGGAAATACTAAGCAGCACCATCAGCGAGGTAACCGCCTGACCGGTCCCAGTGCCACGGACTTGATTTCCCCAAGAGCAGAAGGGAAGGTTCGCGGGTCCCTGGCTTTTTGGGTTCTGGGGCGTTCACAGGAAACAGTGCTATGATGTTGGAAATTTAGTGTCATGGGACATGTTGTGATGGACCCGAACGGAAATCCTTGTGCTACCACAACTCAAGGATCTGGGGCGTGCTTGTCCGTCAAAACCAGCCCGGTTATCCGTCAACACCAGCCCGAGTATTGACACACTCCGACATTGCGTCAAAACCACTATTTCCCAGTCCCTCCAAGGCAAACCATAAGAATTGTACATGGATGTGGACCCATCCTCCCTATATTGAGGGGGATGATCCTCCCTATATTGAGGGGGATGTGTGGTATCCTGTCGGATTCGGTTGATCACCGGGTTCCCCCAAAGACACATCCAAAACTCACCTGATTTGCAAGGGTCCTGCAAATCAGATGGACGTGATTTTGATGTATGGCACGGTGAAAATGAGTCAAAACGCCTTCCCCAAAAGGACATGGTTCCTGCAACTTAGGGCCGTCCCCTGTCTTGGGAAACTTTTTAGGCGAGTTCCACTATGTCCACATGGACCGTAGACATGTCCGAAGCCCTGGTTGCAAGATGCGTCCTTCTCATTCAGGTGTGTCTGACTCTGGTTTTGGGGTACCCTCCAAAAGGGGGTTGCATGGTAGGGAAACCATTTTTTCCAGGGCACATCCCTTTTCGAGGGCCCATTTTCCAGGGTCCGTTCCGTTTTGAGGACCCATGCCTTCCCAGTTCCCGAAGAGACCTGGATGCCGAGGTCCACGAGTTGCGTCAGCTGCACAGTCGTCCAATTGAAAGACCTCGGTCCAGCCGATTCTGCGGCCCTTGGGGAGGGAAGGTACGAAGGAAACCAGCGACTGACTTCCATTTGCCTTGGTCCCAAGGGAAACATCATGGGGGCTGGGGCGGAGGGAGGGGAGGGGGAGGGAGCCCTAAATAAGGCTTATTAAGGGCTCAATAGGGGCTATACCTGGAGTCTCCTTCTCACCCTTCAAAAATGGTTGGTCATTGCCCAAAATAAAAGGGGTCATGACCCCATCTTTGTAAGGGTCATGGAGACTCCAGATATACATGTCCAGTAGTCGCAGACTTCCTTTGAAAACCAACAGGGGAAAATAGAAAGAACATATGACTAAGCAAATGGAAGCTTGCCTGCCCATGCTCGACTCTTAAATCAACCGCTCCAGCATCATTGACTCCCTTTCACAGGGGTCTACCCCTTGCTCCAAAAGATGTACCTGGACCCCATTTGTGAAGGGTCATGGAGACTCCAGAGGGTCCAGGGAGCCCATTTTTACACAGCCCGCACAGCCGGAGATGAGCCGAGCCAATCAGTGGTGGTTGTTCACCCGGCCAGTACCCCACAGCGCGCAGCGATCCCAGTGCGGGGCACTATTGCTTCGCATTCGCGCAAGCGGAAAATCTCCTGGCAAGGCGCAATCATGTCATCTAGCCTGAAGGTACCGGTAAGATCTGGAAATGAGTAGGACAGTTTGATAAGCAAACACAACACCAAGATTCCCCGGGCCCTCCATAGGTATCTTCTCTCAGGTTCGGAAGCTTTGGGGTTGCCATGACCGTGGCTCGGGGGAGGGCTCGGGAGATGTCTCTATATATATATATATATGTATATTTTGTATAATACACATGCAGTTTGTCATACTTGGTCTAACACACAAAGCGCCCCAATCGCTACATTCCCCTTCAACATCCCATGGGCACTGTTAGTTATTTTCACACTGGCGGCCTGGGCAATTTGACGTTTATCAACCGCCAGGGATGATCAACTGATCTAGGGGCACCTTCCCCGTTCTTGCAGGGATCCTTCTTTCTGGAAACCTCAGGAAGCCCAGGGAAAACCGCTGGTTTCTGAGAAAAACCATGGCAAAACAGCGGGGTAGCAATCCGTAGAACTGAGCTGCTCAGAACCACTCAAGAAGGAGACCTTAAGGACCTTGAAGGAAAGCCAGCAACAAGGACACAACGTTTACAACCCTTGGTATGGTAGCCAACAGCTTTGCTTTTTGCAGCCCCCAAGCCTAAAAATGAACAACAGACCAAAAGCAAAACCAAGAAACAAAACCAACAACAAAAACAACAAAAACTACTTGATCAAATAACCTGTCCGAAGTTCAACTGGAGGTTCTGGATTTGATTTCCACGGGCCCCTTTGCGCGCGCCCGCGCCGGCTGTCCTGATTTGGACAGTCGGCGATGGCCAGCAAGACCTGGCGCAAAGATCCGAGGCTCAGATCGAGCACTCAGCGCGATCGAGTGGATGCATTTGGCGGTAGGTCACCAAGGCTCAACTTCCATTTGGTGAAGGCCCCGGGGATTTTTGTTTTTGCTTTTATTATTTTTATCCAGTAACCAGTAGTGATGAATTCCTTTTAAACCCAACAAGGGAAAATTAAAAAAAAAAAAAAACATTCTTAAGCAAGTGGAGGCCAAGGACTTTGGTTACCTACCCAGGGAAAAAAGGGGGGTCAGGGTCAGGGTTCAGGGGGCAAACGTTTTGCCTACCCCCTGACCCCTGACCCTGACCCTTACCAACCACAATATTTTTTCTTCATGGGAAAAAAGTCGGGCACTCCTTTCTCTTGGCAGTTGCCTTCAAGCAGCTTCTGGTTTGGTGGTTTGGTGGTGGTTTTGTTGCATTGGTTTCCCATTTTCCCTCTAGAACCAGGGGTTCAAATCCGAATCCAAACCACCGAATAAGGGTTGCCTGAGTTTAGAAGGTAACCAAGGCTCAAGGGAAGCACCCGGTGGTTAGGGAAAGTTTCCTACCCCGGTAAACTAGCTGAGTAGAAAAACCAAGGGAACCACGACCCTCAGGGCCCTAACCCTGAGCTGCCTTGCAAGAAAACCAAGAGGAAGATAGCGAAGGGTTATCTATGTGGGTTTGGCTGGGATCCACTTTGCCTGCCAAACCACTACCCGGTGGCTTTTCATGGATTTACAGCCGCTCGATTGCCAACGTATAAAAGGACATATATACCAGTAAACTTCTAAGCCATCTTGGATAGAGGCCGTCGGCAGTTTTATGGCCTGCTGTGGGTGTTGGGCTGGGGTGGAGATCTCTCTGGGGTGCGGGGATCGCCCGTTTTTGGATTTCCATGGCAATCTGCACAGCTACTTTGGATGGAAATCCTACACCACTGGAGACCATTGTTCACCATTGTGTGTTGGTATTCATGAGGAATCATCATTCCAGGGTTTCTTGGCTGGTGCGAAGTATACTTTGTCCATCCACAGCTATGTCAGCTGCAAGTGGTTGACCAGGTCTCAGCCCTTCCGCAGTCCAAAAAGGTAGTCTTTTCCCATATGTCATATGTCAGCTTCATGGGATGGGCCAAGCGTTTGGGGAACAACTCATAAGCTCCTACTGTAGATGGACGAAAACCATTCAGCACCACCATTCAGAGACCCTGGTTTCTGATAATTACCCTGTAAATACCCACAAACAATGCGTTCAAGCATAGTCTCATTTCGTGGTGCGAACGGATTTGGCAACCATCCACAGTAGGTCAAGCGGACCTTGCAAAGCAAACCCTCGAATCCATCGCCTCCTCGCTGCGGTGCATGTTTGGAACGAGGCATGCCTAAGCAGGCCCGCAGGGTTAGGGCCCTCAGCCAGGTGTTTATCTCCTTCAAATGGGGGTGGTTGTTCTTTGAGGTTGGACCTGCCCAAAATGGGTTTCAAAACCACCAAAGAAGGGGTCCCCTTAAAAAAAACAGACCCAAGTGGTTTTCTTGAAATGTTGCTGAGTTCAAAGAAATTTGCATGGAACCATGTTGCAACTCCTGTTCAAACGGCAACTCCTTGTCACTTCCCTTCAAAAGGGCGCCGATTCGTGTTCTCTGTGTATGTGCGCAAGAAAACACTACCGCGCCAACTCAAGCATCAATAGATAGCAACAAATGCCCCAAAATTGGCGCTTGACCTTCAGCTCCTTTCAAACAACCCTCCCCCCCCCACAAAAAATGGCCTCAGGCCCCCACTCCTCCAATCAAGTGCAGTGCAGTCACCACTACAACACTCGCTGCCACATTTAAGGCTTCTTTGAGACTCTGATGATATGGTTGTCTCACGGGGCTAAGAGGTCTGTTGCGGATGGCCCGACACTTGCAATATCCATGGATCCGGGCAACGTACTACAATTCGAAAACCGGACATAAGGAATCCCAAAGTATCATGAGATTTCGCTTGTTCCCATCCGTGAGCCAGTTATTCTTATTTTGTTTAACCAGAGGAATCCATTGTACAAGGCCGGTGGCACCTTGTACAATGGATTCCCTCTGGTTAAAGACACAAAACAACTGGTTAGCTTGACAGCTGACCGACAGAAAATACCGTGAAAGATAGGGCTTGACGTCAAGTTCGAACAACCTGGACATGGCCTTCTGGCTTGCCTTCTCAAATCATCACACCTCTTTTTGCTCCGCTTTCACACTGTCCTACACGGGTACCCCTTTTGAGCAGGGACAAAAAACCGATTTACTAGTGGTACTACTAATGCTAAGATGGCCACACGGATGGTCGTAGCTCTTGTTACAAATCCAAATTATCATATCCGTGGGGTTCAACCCCCAATAAAATAATGGTCGACCCAATTTGGATGATGGAAATCCTGAGGTAAACAATGGTGGTTATATTAACCCCCTTTCTTTTGATGGTGGTTTGAACCGTAGGGATATCCGCAAGCCTGCAGGTAAAAGGACACCTTGGTCAGATGGAAGTATTTCGGGCGCGTCCGGCCCGGGCCAAATTCGACTTCCGTCTCTGCCAGGTCGCAAAGAAGTTCACGGGCAGGTATGTACCTGGGAGTTACAAACCCAGGCAATCCAGGTAGGATATATTATATATATATACAAACATTGGAACCACTTGGAGTTGGTACAGTACATGTGGCTAAATGCATATTACCTCATGGATTGTCTGGGGATCAACCCGGAACCCCCACAAACCATATCATTGCGAGATCTCATTTTGGAAACCCCGGACCCGCCTTCCTGGGTGCGACGGTGCGTTGATTTGCACAAGAAGTATGTGGCCTAAAAAGCCCAAAGGCGGCTAATGGGTGCTTTTAAGAGTCGGCCTCCCCCCCCCCCAAAAAAAAAATGGCGGTTTTGCTGTTGGTGGTCCTTGAAAAACACCACAAAAGGGGCTACCCTCCAAAACAGACACCCAATGATTGAGGACGAAGTCCCATGAGTTTCCAACGGCCTCAAATTGTCGGGGATGCACCATGTTTGCACCAAGCACGTTTCCCTATGATGCCCATGTCGCAGCGGGCAAGAATACACGTTGTCTTCCAAGGCGAGCCACTTTGCGCCGGCTTCAGAGGGAGACAAAATGGGCAACCACTTCAACCATCATTTTTTGGGATCCCCTAATGCTGACCCAGGATTAATAAACCCCCCCCTATTAAAGCGCCTGGTTTTCCTTGAAAATCCCTCGCCAATACTCGTTTTAATTGAAACCCAGACATCTGCCCTGGCACCCCCACAATAACAAACATTTTCCCCCGAAACCCCTCCCTATCAAAGCTGCCCTCCCCCAAACCCCCCGCAACATCATGCGGTTTTAATCAAATTTTAACTTGCCCAACTTTTGCACATGCAACAGCAGCACCCCCCCATTAGTACAGCCAGCACCCCCCTGTTAATCTACCATGTTTGATGCCCTGCTTTTGCGCCCCCCCATTAGTAAAGCCAGCACCCCCCTATGAATCTACCATGGCTGATGCCCTGCTTTTGCACACCAGCTCCTTTTTTACTTGCAACAACAGCACCCCCCCATTAGTAAAGCCAGCACCCGCCTATTAATCTACCATGTTTGATGCCCTGCTTTCGCACCCCTCCATTAGTAAAGCCAGCACCCCCCTATTGATCTACCATGGCTGATGCCCTGCTTTTGCACACCAGCTCCTTTTTTACTTGCAACAGCAGCACCCCCCCACTAGTAAAGCCAGCACCCCCCTATTAATCTACCATGGTCGATGCCCTGCTTTTGCACCCCCCCCATCAGTAAAGCCAGCACCCCCCTATTAATCTACCATGTTTGATGCCCTGCTTCTGCACCCCCCCCCATTAGTACAGCCAGCACCCCCCTATTCATCTACCATGGTTGATGCCCTGCTTTTGCACACCAGCTCCTTTTTTTACTTGCAACAGCAGCACCCCCCCCCATCAGTAAAGCCAGCACCCCCCTATTAATCTACCATGGTTGATGCCCTGCTTTTGCACACCAGCTCCTTTTTTACTTGCAACAGCAGCACCCCCTCATTAGTAAAGCCAGCGCCCCCCTTTTTTAATCTACCATGGTCGATGCCCTGCTTTGCCAGCAACAGCAGCACCCCCCCATTAGTAAAGCCAGCACCCCCCTATTAATCTACCATAATCGATGCCCTGCTTTTGCACCCCCCCCATTAGTAAAGCCAGCACCCCCCTATTAATCTACCATGTTTGATGCCCTGCTTTTGCACCCCCCCCCCATTAGTAAAGCCAGCACCCCCCTATTAATCTACCATGGTTGATGCCCTGCTTTTGCACACCAGCTCCTTTTTTACTTGCAACAGCAGCACCCCCTCATTAGTAAAGCCAGCACCCCCCTATTAATCTACCATGGTCGATGCCCTGCTTTTGCACCCCCCCCATTAGTAAAGCCAGCACCCCCCTATTAATCTACCATGGTTGATGCCCTGCTTTTGCACACCAGCTCCTTTTTTACTTGCAACAGCAGCACCCCCTCATTAGTAAAGCCAGCACCCCCCTATTAATCTACCATGGTCGATGCCCTGCTTTTGCACCCCCCCATTAGTAAAGCCAGCACCCCCCTATTAATCTACCATGTTTGATGCCCTGCTTTTGCACCCCCCCCCCCCATTAGTAAAGCCAGCACCCCCCTATTAATCTACCATGGTTGATGCCCTGTTTTTGCACACCAGCTCCTTTTTTACTTGCAACAGCAGCACCCCCCCCCATTAGTAAAGCCAGCACCCCCCCCTATTAATCTACCTTGTTTGTTGCCCTGCTTTTGCAACCCCCCCCCCCCAATTAGTAAAGCCAGCACCCCCGTATTACTCTACCATGTTTGATGCCCTGCTTTTGCACACCAGCTCCTTTTTTACTTGCAACAGCAGCACCCCCCCCATTAGTAAAGCCAGCACCCCCCTATTAATCTACCATGGTCGATGCCCTGCTTTTGCACACCAGCTCTTTTTTTACTTGCAACAGCAGCACCCCCCCATTAGTAAAGCCAGCACCCCCCCTATTAATCTAGCATGGTTGATGCCCTGCTTTTGCACCCCCTCCCCATTAGTAAAGCCAGCACCCCCCTATTCATCTTGCACACCAGCTCCTTTTTTACTTGCAACAGCAGCACCCCCCCATTAGTAAAGCCAGCACCCCCCTATTCATCTTGCACACCAGCTCCTTTTTTACTTGCAACAGCAGCACCCCCCCATTAGTAAAGCCAGCACCCCCCTGTTAATCTACCATGGTTGATGCCCTGCTTTTGCACCCCATTAGTAAAGCCAGCACCCCCCTATTAATCTACCATGGTTAAGGTCCTGACCTTCCCACAAGGTTCCCTCACCTGACCTTCCCACAAGGTTCCCTGACCTGACCTTCCCACAAGGTTCCCCTTCCCACTATTATGGGGGGGGGCCCTCAAAAAAATGACAGACCTGACCTTGTGACCTTGAGGGGGGGGGGGGAAGGGGGGGTATTAATCCGGGGTATGCATTATTTGAGACACACCCATACCTCGCCAAACATCACTTAAAAGCTTAGCTTAACCAAGCTTGAAGGGGACAAGTCGAGTGCCACCCCTCTTCAGAACAGCTCCAAAGCCAGCTTCACGAAAACAATTCGCCCCTAACGCCAAAGAAGAGGACCGAACACCAATCAATCTACTGGTGGCGTCCTTGAAAAACGATCGCCACTTTTAGACTAGGTCCTCCAGTAGAGAGGTTAGAACAAGGGTACCAACTTTTTTTCGGTAGCCTATTCTGGTAGGGGAACCCTTTCCCAAAAAAGTTGGTAAAAGGGTACTACAGGGGGACCCAGTAGAGGTTCCAAACAAAGAAATGGAGGGAATCCCTGGTACCAATTTGACGTCCTTCCTATGGTTTTCAGGTTCGGCTCAGAAAAATTGGAGGCCGTCGACCGCGTGCGGCCGAGAAACACTCGCCCATCACCTGTTCGCGCAGCCGTTGGCTCAGGGGCCTGTCCTGGCCAAAAGAAAGCAACGGGGCTTGACAGAAACAAACGCGTGAGCCCAAACCCAAGCAATCCATGTGTGCAATACTCTAGGTGGACAAAATCCTGACCATTCCCCCTGAAAATACCAACAAATGATGGTTTCGTTGGTGTCAAAGTGGTGCAGAATTTCTTCCATCCACTGTGCTCCCGTATTTACCCTTCAAACGGGTCGAGTGCTGGTATGTATGACCTACTTGGATTGTCTGGGAAAAGAGATAGGGCTAGTCATGGATGTGTCCTTTTTAAGGTTCCCCCCAAAAGTTGTGTTTCTCCTTGTGACTTTCCTTGAAACCAACCCCCTCAAAAAAACAAACCACGAAATCGGCGCTTTTCCATCGATCCCGAATCCCGCCTTGGTAGGCTGCGGCGCCAGACGATCCACGAAGCGGGGGATCTGGTCCTGGCGAAATGGACCCAGCGTCAAGCTGGGAAAACCTTTGGGTGTGCCCTTTTCTGAGGTTGTATGCATACGTACTGCGGATGGTTGCGAAATCCTCTTAGGCACCACCTAAGAAACCATGGTGTCTGATGATTCCCCTGTAAATACCAACAAACAATGGTTTCCCATGATTTCAAAGTGGTGCAGGATTTCGTCCATCCACAGTATGTATATATATATATTAATGTATATATGCTTATTGGTGATTTTCAAGGACAACCAAAAGGAGAACAAAACCATTTTAGGGAGGTCTCCAAAGAAAAGACACCCCGTTTGAAAAGACACCCCCGTTTGAACCGTGTCCTTAATTCGGTGCTTCAACTCTTTCCTGTATGATTCCGAAAAGTTCCGGGGGAGGTTCCTTGAACAACTGGAAAACACTGCGGAACAGTCAGTTTGGGCGTGCAGTGCCAAAATCCAACTGGTTTAGAGGGAAACCGCGGGGCTTGATGACTGATGCGAGGGTCGTTGGTTTGCAGGACAGCAGAAGTGCCAGCGAGGAACTTGCTCATAGAGGAATCTCCATTTGGGGGAATGACCAAGGTTGACCAACCACTCACTTCCTGAGTGGATGAGCAGCCGCAAACAAAAGAAGTTGGTTTCACCAAGGTGGGTTCTTTGCCGACTAAACTCCCCTGGACTCCTCCATGTAGGATCTGTTCTTCCAATGCTTCTCCACATCCTCATTGGAAGGACCCTCCGTGAAGTTGATGACGTACTGCACCTGGCACTGATCGCTAGGACGGGCTCGACAAAGCGGCGCTTGAAAAAGAATCGTCTGTTTTCTGTTCGGCTTCCTCCGCTGCCCCAGAAACAGCTTAAACCCCTGCCGTGCACCGCGCTTAGGCATCCAAGGACCAGCCTGTCTAACACGGAACCCACAGGAGGCTGCTTGGAGGACAATTGTCCGGTCGAGTGGCTTGGCCAAAGAAGTAGCCAAACTTTGCCCCAGTGATGCCATGTCCCACGTTTTGGTTACCAAGTTGGAACCATTTCTCAACATGTAATAAAAAAAAGAGGTAGGAACTGCCCGATATACAAATCAATAAACAACTATTCATTAAATGAGTTGCCCACTATAGTGGCTTGTTTGGCATCCACTGGGTTGTGCTATTCTCTTCCCAATTTCGTCTTCCCAATCGGGAAGAAAAAGCCCAAGAACTCAAGGAGTGAGGAAAACCCGAGCCCGGCCTGCCCGTACACCAGCATCTTCCGGATGTTGGCCTGAGAAACTTCACCAGTTGAGTGATAATCAAAACCCGGTACAAAAATGGTGCACCCAGAACCATGTCAAGAATTAAGAAGGCGGCCGCAGCTATTTATGGTTCATCTACCGGGGATTTGATTGTGGATCACTTTGCTTTCAACCATCCCCAGTTCCCCGGTCGCCCAAACGCTGCGACAAAGAAACACCGCGCCGCTTCTTCCTTTTGCGGGAGCTCGCCATGGTTTGCCGCACATCTTCCGAACAGAAACGTGGGGGGGACCAAAAAACGGAGGTGGGATCCGAGTTGACTCACGGGGGAAACTGGCCAGGTGTCCCCCGAGCTTCAACTGGGGGCCTCTCAGGGCACCCGAAGGACTCGGATCCCGAGGTTTCTCTGACCTGCCGGAAGGCTGGGGCTTGGGCTTGGGCCCCGACTCTCCGACGCGGTTTGCCCGAGGATTTCCCTTTGGACAAAAACCACGGGGCTATCCGAACCAAACTGAAACCAGCAACCAGTGGACCAGTGCAAAGTATCTTCCAAAGTGACCGAATTTTTCACAGCCACGTTCCCTAGCGAACTCCGAAGACGGGCAGGCAAGTGCAGGCCAAGTTGCTGATTGGGCGTACACACCTCGGAAGGACTCGCGTCGAATGAGTCACAATCAACATCATGGCAATAGAAACCCTCAGAAGCCATTCTTGGTTGACGTTGGAAGGGGAGCAACAAAAATAAATGTTAGCAGCTAAGTGGGGATTTCCCACTAAACCACAATAAGCAAAAATGTAAAATGTTTCCCAACAACAACCATGCATTACCCTCAGAAGCCAACAGGGGTTATGCAGATGACTGCAGCGAAAGCAGCAGCGATCGCTTCCTTGGCCGAGCGTCGAGTCGGGCTCTGCTTGACGGCCATGATGTACTCTGGGCCTCGGAAGGTAGCGGGAAACAGAACCCACACCTTGCGTCTCCAGCAAGGGACAGGGCAAAATACTCACTCCAGGTCCAAGCTTTTTGGTTGCCACTGCAATGGTCCTCGCAAAACTCAAGTCCACGAACTCGGGAAGTGAGAGTAATGGACATGGACAAATGCGTACCCTCCCATCCACGCCATGAGACCTGACTGAGGGATCCTGGAAAACAAGTTTCTTTTAAAATAGGAACCCTCTGGTGGGTTCCATGTTAGTGGAGAGCAGGGTAAGTCCCGTAGTTTTGTGGCACTATCAATGAGTCCCCCTATGTCCTCCCCAAATGGAGCATCTACTGGACATTCTGACCTTCAAATTAATTCGCCGGCATCAGGCAGGTGACTAGGCAAGCAAAAGGGATCTACTTGGTCAATGGCCATCGTGTGGAAGTCCACCGAAGGGTCCGCAATGACTTCCATTTGGTTAAGCCACCTGGACAAAACATAAAAATATGTCCAGTAGTGATCAATTCCTTTTAAAACCAACAAGGGAAAATAACAACATATTCATTTCAGCAAATGGAAGAATAGACATACCCAAAAAGATCAAAAAGGTGGATCCGCATGTCCTTGGAAAGTGTCTTGTTGCCAACCGCGGCCATGGACAATAAAAAGCTACGGCAGATTCCACGCGACAAGTAAACCGACCACGTCGGACCAGATGGTTGAACACTTTCCGGGGCGTGACTGATATTGTCCAGTTACTCCCCTACAAATCCGCATAGAACCCAAGAAAACCCTCCCGTTGTAGAGGAAACTCCTTTTGGGAATGGGACCCCCCTTCTCAGTTCCATGTTTATTTGTAGGGCAGTCCGCAACGGAAGGCGAAGTGTGACGGGCTTTGCATCAGAACTCTTTAGGCTTGTTGCTGGTGACTGTAAACAAGTGGGTCTGTGTGATTTGCGGAAGACGGTACTCCTTTTGGGGGCTAAGGAAATCACCAATTGTGGGGTTCAGTTGCAGGACGACCCTGGCCCTTTAGTTTACATATGTGATGGTTGGCTATGTCCTACACGAACACGTTTGTAGTTGACTTGGCTAGCGTATTCTGTCTATGTGTGTGTGTCCTTATATGTGCATTTGTTTAAACAAAAGCTCGTGCATCTTCGATGTGGATCGATTTGCATCTCTTGGGACTGTTTTATGTTTGCTGATATGTCATGTTATGGGACACCAGTTGGATACAAAGAAGCAAATGGTGCATCTCGTGTAGCTTATCAATCCGACGCACATGTTTATATCGCGCTCATCACATTTGACTTTGAACACAATTACTTTCATACTCTAATGTTTGTCAAGTGCGTATGTTACGCATAATGACCTGTTGTCTTGGTTCGATATCATTTTCAACTACTGGAAGCATTATAACAACGGAAAGGTAACTCGAGTACATACATAGAATACAAAGCCATTTGCATTGAGCGCGGAGAAAAACCAACTCAACCATTATTTGTGTAAGGATGCCTTTCTCAGGAAACCCCGTCCCCAAGTCTCTGCTGGGCGTTCCAGGCGGAAGTAGGTGTCGTACTTGTCCCCATTGCCTGACAGCACGTAAGCCCTGCCATTTGCCAACATGGTGCCACCAAGAAGAATCAATCCACGCAGCCATGACTATGACCCTTTGACAGCATAATCAAATAAACATCACACAGCACCATCAGCCATACACTACTTCAAGAGCAATAGCAAGGGCCAATAGTGACCATTAGTGGGTTGAAAATCAAAAGGTCCCAAAACTCGACCCTAATGCCGTTATCTTTTCCTTGGCAAATAGGGGCCGCAACAAAGACCAACCAAACAGCATCCCCGTTTTGAGCGACCCTCAGGAACTGTCCCCGGGTGTCTGTCAAAATAGGGGACGCCCTCGTTTGGTTTCAAATTACACCACGCCAAAACTTGCTGGCGCTGAGCAGGGAAAAATGGAATGAACCTGGCATTTCCCTTAAAGCAAACCATAGGGGGCGGTGTTTCAAGGGTCATTCCATCATTCCCTGCTGAGCACCAGCAAAAAAAAAGGGCGTCCTCGAAAAACAAAAGACACACACACAAATACAAAAGAAGAAAAATACACACACACACACAAACAAAAGAAACAAAAAGAAAGAAACAACGACACACACACACACACACACACACTTTGTTCGATGCCGGGCCTTTGCAGCCCCGAGCGCTCTTTGCGGCGGTCAGCCAGTACCTCGGACAGAAAATCAAACGCACTGTCGATCACAAAAGGGGTTGTGCCAATACACTAGACAATCCATGTAGGCCATGTTTGCCCTCTTGAGTTCAAAGTTGGTGTGTATTACATGGATTGTCCGGGAAAGACAAAGGGACCCAAAAGAATCGAAGATTTCGAGCGGTCCTTTTGGTTTCTAACTTGAAATCAACTCCTTCCGGAACCCAAGAAGCTGGGACCTCCTTATGGTTCCAACCCAAGAAGCGGGTCATCCCTTGACCTCTGGGTTGGTATTGGCCGAAAAGGTTGAGCAAGGTCCACGACCTGCAGATAGACCTACCTCAGCTCCAGATTTATCGGCCTCTTCTGAATGAGACCTGAGTGCCCGTCCAGACGGGGCCTTCGCAGCGCCCTTTTTCCATCTGAATGCCGACGCCAAGTCCGCAAAGTTCAAACCGCTGCCAACGGATTGGGCTTCCTACTGTGCATGGACGAAATCCTGCACCACCTTGAAACCATGGGAAGCCATTGTTTGTTGGTATTTACAGCAGGATTTCGTCCATCCACAGTACCATCCTTGTGCTCAGTTGCTCAAGCGACCTGAGAAAATAGGAGGGTGGTCAAAAACAGGGGCCCTTGTAGGCACAGGTGTCCTTTTGGGAAAATACACGGACCTGGTAGATGACGAAACAACCAGGTCAACCAGGAGTCATCTATTTTCCTAGGTCCTCCAGTAGAGAGGATAGAATAAAAGGCTACAACCTGAGGCTCGGGTGCCGAGCACCCGAGCCTCGACCCAAATCCGACGACACGCCCTGAGGTTCCGAGCTTGATCTGGCTGTGCTCATGGAAGAGTGCCTCACTGGCCACTGGGAGTTGCAGGTATGTGGTTGCGAGCGCCTTGAAACTAGGTCCTCACACCCAAAACATACCCAAACACATGACGCTTTTTTGAAGTAGGTTGGTTTCCCTAAAGCTATCCAAAAGTTGTACCAGCAAACAAGACAGCCACATTTAGTTTGTTTGGTTGGCTCTCACTTGCCGTGCAAATGGGCAACAAATCGAAAGCGCGAAACCCCCACTGGCAAAATGAAAGAAGGGACACGAAAAGAGTCCTCAAACAGGAGATCTTCCCAAAAAAGGATATGTTGTAGTTAGCCCGAACTGAGAGACGGCTTCATTTGACAGCAGGATAAATTCCTTGCTGGTGCGATAGGCAGGGAATGAGAATTGGACTGACCCCGAAATAACCCGTCCCTTGCTGGATTCCTTTATTCGGGAATCTCTGGGTTCATTCCATTTCACATGGTTCGTTCCATTTCGCATTCCCTACCTACCTATCGCAACTGGCAATTCCCTTTATTCTCTCTTGCCCGTAGTGCCTGTGAAGACGGTCCGCTATAAGTGGTGGTATTCCTTTCTTCCATTCCCTACCTATCGCAACTGGCGGTATGAATACACTGAGAAGGTGAAGTCGAGCCCACCTCGCTTTGGAGGCCTGACAAGGCCAGCGTTGGAACAAAAAGGAATTGGAACCCTTCATCGCAGCAGACCATTTTTAGTGGGGCAGTCACCCAAAAAAACGTGGGAAAAGGAAAAAGACACTCGGCGCCGCGGAATTTTTCCGAGCTTCTTCGGGGAAACGGGTCAAAGGGTCAAAACCCTGTACCCCCAGTGAACATCCGATTCAATCCAACCACAATCGGAAGCCTAAAATGGCCGGTGCAAAATGGGATCCCCTTGGCTTTGAGACCACCACAGCCAAACGGGTCAAAAAACAAAGGTTTTCCCTCGCGTCCTCCGGTCCCTCGGCTCGCCTTCATGAGCTCCACGGGCGCATCGCCTGGGGTAAGATGGACGAAATCCACTTCGCAGCACCTAAGCAACCATGGTTGACACCATTGTGTTGGCATTTACAGGGGAATCAACATTCCAGGGTTTCTTAGGTGGTGTAGGAGTTTGTCCATCCACAGTATGTACCCAACACGGGTTGCCCTGGTACATGGAAACAAGGGCTCAAACCTGCGGTCCAATTCCTGGTGGGTTAATGTTTACCCACATCGATACCCCCGAGGTTCAGTTGCCGGCCACCAGTAAAACCATGGGGTTAGTAGAACCACCCATGATTTACCTAAAGAAACAGTGGTTGGGTGGTTCTACCTAAAGATGGGGTTCGGCGGCATTGGGATGAAGATTGTGCTGTTTTGTGTTTTGCTTTTTGGCTAGACTTAGATGAGTTGTTCCCTGGTAAATGGAATGGCACACCAATCCAGGCGTAGGTGTCCTGCTTCAATTTGCTTGTTCAACCCCTGCAACAAATGAGAACTATGTCCAGTAGTGATCGATTCCCTCTAAAGCCAACAGGGGAAACTTAAGCAAATGGAAGCCTGCTGGCTAGAAATAGATGGGTTTCCCTGGTAAATTGCATGGCAAAAAGCCAACTCAATAACCAGTGGAACCCATCTATGAACCAAACCCAAAAAGGACACCGATGCAGGTCATCCTCCATGGTTTGGAGTGGTTGTGTTGAACCCCTGGGCGTGGGTAAATGGGGTTTCCTACACCCGGAAAACACTCAGGGATCCTAACATTATACACCTGAACATTGCAACTTGTAAATTGTGGTTCCCCACTTTTTTTCGGTGGAAACAGCCATGTTTCAAATGGTTGCAACATGAATTTCTTTAAGGAGCCCTGCACCTCTAAGCCAACCAGAGGGAAGCTGATGACAGCTAGTTCGCGGAGGTTCAGAGCAGCCCCGGAGGCGGTTGGTGCGGGTTGCGGAACTCAGTTCAGTGACCGTGGAAAAATGGGAACCCTTTTTGGGGAAGACCATGTTTAGTGGGGCAGTCACAAAACAAAAGTTGGAAAAACAATTGGTGGCACTGAACAACTGAGGGAAGGTGCAAAGGTACCACCAACTGATTAAATCCGGGCATACCATCATCTGAGTGGGTAGCCCCTGAATGACTGTCACCGATTTCCTTGCTCCCTGGGTACATAGAATGGTACAAGATTGCGGCCGATAGCAGGAGCTTGAGTGGATCTCATGTCTGTCTTTTGGTTGGAGGGCCAGAACCCAAAGGAACGCCATCTGTTTGTCCCAGTTCCCCCGCTCCGACCAGTTCATTTGAGTGCCCATCGGGGTTGCGGGGGTCCCATCCGATCGCCAGGCCTGGTGTTTCGAGGAAGCGAACAATGTCCTGCCACACATGTCTTGAGCACCGTCTTGTGAGCGGTACATTTACATCGGTGTGGAGAACAAAAGAAACATGTGGATTCAGCCCCTTTTGGTTTCAAATTTAGGGAAATTGAGACACTTGTCACTCGAGTGCGATTTGGCACCAACGCCTTTTGCATGAAGCTCAAGGCCACTCTGAACGGTGGTTCTGTATTTTTAGGGGAGTCACCGAATTTCTCTCGGCAAAATCAAGTAAGAAACCGTCATGGGTGAGAAATCGCTTACTTTTTACTCAGTCTTCATGCTGGCTATTTGAGGCAGAAGTCCAAAGAAAAAATACCCTCCCAAAAGGCTTCTCAAAATGTGGGACCCCTTCAGCTCTTCTGGTTGGTGCAAGGAAACAGGTTCTCTTTTCATGTACCAAAGCATGCAAAACACCTAAAAGGAAACCAACAAGTTTGTTGGGACCACGATTTTGAGAAACACCGAAAAGCGAGGTGTGTCCTGGACCGTGAGCAGGGTCATTTGCTGCCATCGATCCTGTCGCATGAGCACAGGCGTAAAGTCACCAGAGTGCGACTCGTTTAAACCACTGTTGTTTAAAAAAAGCTTAGCTTCGGGCTTCCTCTAAACCTAACAAGGGCCAGCTAGTTTCAACTGTTTTTGCATGACTCTTCGAGTCATGCAAATACACATCGCACATCGGTGATGCGAAGTTTATTTGTCATTAAAACATCCGCCCCAAAGAACAATAAAAGCAGACACAGCCCTAAAACAGAAAAAAACAACCTGGGAGAGAGACCGTTGGCTTGGACCCGCTTTCCGCTTCCATGTTTTTTGCTGAGGGGCGACCGACGGTCATTTTTGTTTGTCGTCCTGCAGTGACCGAGCCACTTCGGAAATCACCCGGCTGTTCCCGCTGCGCAGCAGGCTCTGCAAGGAGTAGTTGCGCCTGAGCATGGCTGGGCTTTGAGATCGATCCCCACCCAAAGGGTTCAAGTGGCCTTGAGATTGGCTTTCAGGGGCCAAAGTACCTGGACCCTCAAACTACCTATAAAAATGGGTAAGTGCCCCAAACTCGTAGGGCGATGTCCAATTTGTACGGATAGTTTGAGGGTCCAGGGACCTTCTTAGATGGCGCTTAAAATCTTGGGACAAAAGACTGTTGGTCCCTGGCAACGGTAAACCAAATCAACTGTCGACCCAGGTTTGGGTAAATCGGGAGTCCTGATGGACTTTGGGCCCTAACCATACTGAAGTAATGTTTAGCCCCAAAAAACACCCACAATGACTCAAAGCATTGGATCCTTCGAAAACTGGCCTTTCCAAGGACAACGGCAGTGTTCCCGGCTAGGCTCGTTTTGCTAAAACGATTTCGTTGGCCAAAACGATGGGGGCGACAAGCCTCCGACAGAAAGGTGAGAAGAACGCATCGATGTCAAGCCCTGCTTGATGACCCCCAATCTGAATCCAAGTTGAGATCTGCCCGTCGCGCATTTGCTGCGGGAAATCGCAGGCTGTCAAGCCCTGTGTGGATGGCCCTTTCGGAAGGGGCCCATAGTGCACATTGAACATGGGAGGGTTCCTAGTTTGAGGATTCGCCTCTACCCCCTAAACTCCCTTCCTGAGTGGATTGGCAACAACATGTCCAAACTGTTCATCTACAACTAAAAAGTTCTTCCCCCCCCCAAAAAAAAAGTTCTTCCCCCCCCAAAAAAAAAGTCCAGGAACTCAGGGAGTGAGTACACCAACCACTTGAATCGCTTGGAGACAAAGAGAGGTCTCGCTTCCCACGCCCTTGGCCCACGCCACGGGCCCTGACGTGGACGTCGAATGGAACTCGAGGCCCGGACCTGTCCACGCGCAAGTGCTTGTCCTGAGTGCCGCTGTCCCAAGGCTTAGAGAGCGAGAACTTGAGCAGGATTTTTTTTGGGTGCTTTTTTTTTCACAAGATATAGCCTCGGTTGCGAAATCTGCGAAGCCCTGCCAAAAAGTGACTGACTTTTCGTGGTTTGATGGAAAGCCCAGTAGTTGGCAAAAAGATAAAGTCCGAACATCCAAGCGAAATGCACCAAAGTACCCTCCAGTTGCCATTGTCACCCAGAGGTGTGGTCTTCCACCCCCAAGGTTCCATGTTTGGTGAGCTCGTTGCACCAGAGTTCGTAACATACCATCTATGACCAAAGCACATCGCGGTCATGGTCAAGCTGTCCGTCCGTAAACAAATGAACCGCTGTGACCAGAAACAATATAGTCAATATGTATCTAAAGTAGCATTGCCCGACTGCAATGGGATGGAACAGGCTCTGAGGTTGAAAGAACAACCGAAAGGAATACATATCTTACCCATGCAGTGCTTCCAGTTAGTATGGTATCAGCTTCCCCGAAAACGGGTGGTTTGGTGGTTCGGGGACTGGTTTGCCAGTTACTCTCTACAAGAACCAGGGGTTCAAATCTCCAAGCAACCAACCAATGCTTACCTGATAGTAAGTAACCCAGGGAAACCATGATGTCAAACCTAGAAGTAGTAAACCCCGGTTATAGTGACTATAGTGGTAACTGGAATCACTGGGTTAACCAGTTTGACACGTACCGTAGGACAAACCTCCAACTGCGAAAACCAACTCCATATAAACTGAATTTTCATTCTGAGTGACTCAAACACTGTGACGTCGCAAACAAATGTCGCGTTTGGGGCCATTGGCGTTCCCCTTTCCTAACATCAAAGCTTTCCACCTGAAAAGGGGACAGGCTTGCTCCAACCCTAGTGGACATTTGGCCCAAAGCGAAACCAACAGAAGCTCATCCGATTTTGCGGCTTTCGGTCCTTGGATTTGGCTTTCGGAACTCGGAAACCCCACCCTGGAGCTTCAAGCTCAAATCCCCGTCGGAAAGCCATATGCGTGCGTCGTTTTAAGGTTGCAACCCGCCCAAAGCAAAACAGGCCTTCCTTCGGGTCTTGCTCGAAAACCGAAAAATGGGTAATTACCCGCCAAAAAAGACACACACACACACACACATTTTGTGAGGGTACCTGTTGCTTGGTGCTTTGAAAGGGAAGCCAACGGCAAAACCACTGAAACCACCGTTTTTGTTTTTTTGGATGCTACAAGTACCATATAGTTTACAAGGATTCCTATCCCTCTGCGACCTGGCCGGTTCTCCGCTCCAGCCGCCCCTTCCCATGAGACGACCCGTCGGAACCCATTTGACGCCGTGAACAAAACTGGGCCGGCTTGTGATCCCCTGCTACAAGTTTAAGCTTGGGGTGTTTGGACACCCCCACTAAACCCTAAAAAGTAAGAAGGACGGGCGTTAGGAAACAAGCTGAAGTGGTCAGCGGTGCCGGAACCCTTCCGGAGCCCAAACCCCGCTCGGCATCACTTCCGGAGCTTCTTTGGGCCAAGGCCCCGGAGCTTTCAAGATACCTGGAGTCTCTTTCTGACCATCGGTGGCCTTTTGGAAAAATCGATAGCCCTGGTAAATGGAATAAACCCCATCTCAACCAGTGGAACCCATCTATTTGTAACCAAACTAACCTAAAAAGGACGCCTATGCTTCTGACCCTTAAAAAATGGTTCACCCAAAATAAAGATTCGGGTCATGACCCCAACCATGTGTAAAGGATCAGAAGCAGCCTCCAGGTAGACATTTTAAGGGCATGTTGATGTATACCCCAACTATTTTTAAAGGGTCAGAAGGAGACTCCAGGTAGGTGTTAGGAAAAAACAAAACCCAGCGCCCCCATCCCAACGTTGGTTCCCCACGAGCCTTGGCGGAGGTCAAGCAATGAACGTCCTGGTCAGAGAGCCAGGGGCGGTTGAGGGCCAGCCACTGCAAGGGGCTTATCATGAACCTCCATTTGCTGAAGTCCCCTGGAAAACACAACATATGTTCAGTAGCGATAGATTCCCTTGAAAGACAAAAGATAAGTCTTAAGCACGTGGAAGTAAAACACCAGAA